ATGGAATCTGAAATTGAATTAAATGATGCTGTACAAGAATTACATATTATTGCAACGCAATCTGATCTTTATCATGTACTTGTTAATATGAATGGAATAACTTTATTAATGAGTTTATTAACACATGAAAATACAGATATTAGTATTGCCGTTATTAGTCTTATACAAGAATTAACTGATGTTGATACATTAACTGAAAGTGAACAGCAAGCTACATTTTTAATTGATGCACTTGTAAGTTATTAAAATAAATTTGAAGAAAGAAGAAAATTTTGTTTTTTTTTTCTTATTTTGAATTTTTCAAAAAAAACAACAGGCTGAACAACAAATTATTTCATTACTTGTTCAAAATATGGAAAGACTTGATGAAAATGTTAAAGAAGAAGCAGATGGAATACATAATTCACTTGGTAGAAAAAAAAAACAATTAAATTAAATAGAAAAATAAAAATTATGTTTTTGTTTTTTTCTATTTTATTATTATAGCTATTGTAGAAAATATGACAGAATTTCGACCAAGTTTATCTATTGATGCATGTAAACATGGTCTATTAGCATGTTTACTTAAACGTTTAAAAGTAAGGAGAGAAAAAAAAGAGAAAATATCAAAAAGAAAAAAATTTTTTTTCTCTTATTAGATTAAATCACCATTTAATTCAATACGTCTTTATTGTTCAGAATTAATGTCGATTTTATTACAAAATCAGGATGAAAATCGACAAATGCTTGGTGAATTAGAAGGCATTGATATACTTTTACAACAACTTGCTGTAAGTTTTTTAATTCTTTGAAGATAGAAGACGCATATATGCATCTGATTTCGAATCAACTCCGAATTAATTTGTGCATATCTCTTATGATCTGTAGTAGTACACATGTCGTCAATCTGTTATATTATTATTCGTATTGTGAGGGTTTGTGTGTGTGTGTGAATACGGCTAAAGAGAAGATCTACACCTTCAAGATTATTATACTAGTAGAAACTCGATTGTTTTCTGTGGGTTTTGTTTTTGTTAAAGTTGAAAACAGTCTTGACATTTCTTTTTTTTTATAGGATTGATTTGTTTACAAAATTGAATTAAGAATAATTTTTGAAAATACGATATTTCAAGAAGAATATGTCCGTTTTATTTAAACTTTCGGAGTATTCCAATGAGTCGCAGTTCTTTTCATCAATGATATTTCAGTTCAGAATTCACTCATTTGATTTTACCAATGAAACAGTATTATAAGTTCAACCGTTTACCACCCATAACGATTTCAGAAGACTCGCTGATGAAACAACTATTGAAATAGAGTATTGATGTTTCTCTGATATATCAATAGCGTAGATGTGATATACTCTTGTTTGTGACGGCAATTTGGCCAATACAGTAATCATTGAGAAAAATAGGCGAGTTGACAAAAATTTTACTAAAAACTTTTCTTAAATCTGATGTAATTCGGTCGAAAAATATCGTAGAGAACTGGGAAACATCTCATTTCGAAGAAAATTACTTCCTCAATCATGAAATGTAGCGGAAGTAAAGTGTATGTCCGAATTGTAGCCACTGAAAAATTAAAGATTTAATTTTCTAGAAAACGTCCTAATGAATGATCGTTGTTAAGTGTTACACAATATATTCCTATTATGTATCTTGTCTATTGGTCGGAAAACTGTTTATTTGGGAAAATTCAACCTTTCTAGTTTTTCTAAATTCATCTTTTATTTTTTCAAGATGGAGTAATACGAAAAAGAAATTGATAGTTTATGGAGTTTCACTAGGAGACATGTTCGTAGATTTTATCAATTTCATATTTCATTTATTTCAAGTTACAAAGGAAGGAGGGTGTAAACAATTAAATCTACTGACTACAACGTTTATAAGTCGATATTCTCTTTGAATTGTTCTAGTGTCATGAATCTCTTTTAATTCATGGGCGATTTGAGCCAATATAAAATATTTCTAAACCAATTTATAAATATCAAAATATATCTGTTTAAATAATAGAAATTAGTAAGAAAATTTTGAAACTAAACATTCTTTACGTTAGTTTCAATTCATAAAATTCTATCTAATGAAAATACAGGAAATATCTATAGAAAATATCTATAAGTCAATCGGTTTGTTTTTAAATCTAAATATTTTTCCATAGACTAACTTTATCTTTAGTATTACAAACGACATGATCCTCAAACAAGTGAAGAATTTGAATATATGGAAAATTTATTTAGTTGTCTATGTTCATCATTATTATTTGCTCCAAATCGACAACGATTTCTTAAAGGTGAAGGTCCTCATCTTATGAATATTATGCTTAAGTAAGAATAAATATTTAATTCATTCAATTTTATTGTATGAATTTTTCTTTTCTTGTAGAGAACGAAAAGCTTCACGTAATGGTGCATTAAAAACATTAGATTTTGCTATGACTGGTGTTGAAGGAAAAGATAATTGCCAAAAAATTGTTGATATACTTGGTTTACGTACGATGTTTCCATTATTTATGAAACCACCTAAAGGAAATAAGCGATCTGGTGAAACTCGAGCAGAAAATGAAGGTAAAAATATTTATTTTTGGAAACTTTTTTTTTTTCATTTGAACGTTTTTTTTTTTTTTTAGAACATGTTATATCATGTGTAGCTTCATTAGTAAGAAATTGCACTGGTTCAAATCGTCAACGTGTATTTAATAAATTTACTGAAAATGATCATGAAAAAGTAAATAAATAATTTTTTTTGTATGATTATATATATTTTTTTTTAATTAATTATATTATTTAAGGTTGATCGTTTAATGGAATTACATTTTCAATATTATGAACGTGTACAAGCAGCTAATAATCGTATTGATAATGATGAAGATGATGATGAAGATGAAATTTATCTTCGACGATTAGATGCTGGATTATTTACTTTACAATTAATTGATTATATTATTACTGAAATAGCTTCATCAACAACAAGTATTCCATCAATACGACAACGTGTTTTACAAATTCTTAATTTAAGAAATAGTTCAGTTGATACTATTAAAACTATTATACGCGGTAAGAAAATAATATATACAATGGCTACAAAACAAAAGGATCATACAGATTTCATTTCAATTTTTTTTCCATAATGGTAATAAGAGTTTAAATAGTGATTTGAATAGAGAAAAGCGTCTAAACGTTTCTGACTATAACCATTGGCATGTCAATAGGTTAAGGTACCCTTGTTGTATTCTACCGTGATCGTGGCGCTATATATTAAAAATCTCAACAATACGTCGCAGTACTTGACAATATATACTCTATTGGATAAAGGATATTTTTTTCTACAAATCTACATATATCGTGTTCTATAGTCGAACATCACCGAAAAACTTAAAGTCATTTTTGAGACAAAATGAAATCGTCACAATATTCCCAAAATTCATGATCTTTAGAAGATCTGAAACCTAGTTTTTTAGTACTAAGAATCCTAAAATAAAAGTTGATTTTTATTCCTTTTTTCCATTGGAAACGGCGAAAAGACCACTGTTTGTTTTTTGGTTTTCTTTAAAATAGACACAGTTTAGTCTAAAAATGTCGTCGAAAGTCGTGAGACATTAATTTCTTAGAGAATTCGTTTGTTCAATCATCATATGTAATCAAAAAATACTTTTTTATTTCGACGTTCTCAGTGCTGAAGAACTAGATTTTGAATTTTTTAGAGAGTCTAGATTGTAGAAATACTGTAAAGATTTCATTTTCTCATATCTTTATTGGAAACAAATTTCTTCATTCAAATCACTATTTGTATTCTTTATGTCATTTATCATTCTGAAAAAAAATTGAAATTAAATCTGTATGATCAATTTTTGAAGTTAATATATACATACATTTAATTTGGTAAAAAGAAGACAAATATTAATTTATTAATTTTATTTTAAGAATATGCAAATAATTTGGGAAATACAAAGAAATCAACAAATGTTAATCATACATCAACAGATGGAACAAGCAATGGAAATAATGAAGATTCACATAAACAATATTTATTAGATTTACTTGAACGATTCTAAAAATTTTGTTGTGTTTCTCTCTTTTTTTTTTCTTTGTCGATTCTTTTCTATATGATATTGTGATGTCAAACTATTCTCATATTAAATCTTTATATCTATTGTTAGAAGAATGAACAATAGAGATATTCTACGTATATATGTATGTCACAGGCAGAATTCATTTTGAATTAGATACAAAACTACAAAATAGTTTTTTCGTATTTAAAAATAAATTATAATTGTCATTTGTATTAAGAAAACAAGGTACATATCTATTTTTTATCATTAGAAAAATTATTTATTTTTACTTAATGTTGGAGTTATGTCGCATTAATAATTTCTGTGACGACTTGGTGAAATGATTTTTGGAAAACATTTTCATGAACAACCGAAACTGTTTTTTTTTTGAATTTTTCAATATCTCCAGAAAGTAGCTATTATTTTAACAGAAATAATATGTGAATTTGAAAATAACTGAACGAAACTTAATGACATAATATATTTATATTTTGCATATGATATATGAACTGCGTTAAATTCGAGTATCAATAGATACCAGAAAAAACAAATACTCTTTAGAAGTATGAACCTGATTATTCTGTTTTTTTGTTCGGGTAGGCGTTGACAAACTGTATGTATGTTTAATATAGTTGGAAACTCTATATCTTCCTAAACTTAGCTAAATTTCAATTAAAGTTAAAATTAATTAATTAAAAATATATAAAATCAATTATTTATTCTTATGTTTTTCAATTTTTTTAAAAGCATTTTCAAGTCTTTTTATAATTCTGTTTAATTTTGTCTAAGCCTCAATTCTGCCTAAAACATATATTTCTCTTTTTACATTAGACGGCCGATATGATGCTGAAAGATAAACAATTGGATTATGTATTGTTTATATTTTCCTTTTCTCTGATTCGACGTATCTTGCCTTCCATATGATTTTTTTTTCTTCTCTTTTTCACTCACATTCGATTAACAATTTGATATCAATGCAACAACAAGTCGTTTCGTTCACGACTCTTCATAATAATGATAATAAGATTGATTGTTTTAGTTATATTGTAAAACAATGTCATTTTTATATTGAAAATTTTGGTATTATAGTTAAAAGAGTACTATGCAAACCATGCCCATTATTATCAAAAGAAACAAAACGAAAGAAAAAGAAACAAGTAAATATTTTTTTTCAAAACTATACTTTTGTTTTAATCTAGTTCAAAAACAAAAACAAATAATAATCTCTCACTCATAATCATTTCCTCTTGTCAACTATTGACTATTTCAAATATATCATCTCTCCATTCATAAGTAAATAGATAAGATTAGATTGTTTTCTTTTTTATGTATATGGGCAGAATCATTTGTTAGCGACGTGACTTCGGAAAATTAAAATGTGTGTCTCGAGATAATAAGCTTTATTAGATCCGATTTTTATATGTTGCATGCACATTAAGTTACTCTAGATACCCTATAAAATCAGTGCTATGAAGCTTTGTTTAGAGGAGTTACTGATAAAAAACTACCGTTAGCGACATAACACAGAAAAGGACATCAATTTTCACTTCATGTATTTTTGTTTTTAAAAACTCTCAATTCATGTACAATTTTAGAAAACTAAATAGGATATTCTGTAGACGGCTCCTAAGACTATAAAGTCTATATGCAAAATTTTTTCTGATCATGTCTAGATTTTTCGAAAAAATCGATTTATTTGTCGTCAGTGACGTGATACAGTGCGACTACACAATCGAGGTGGCGCTTTTGTTACTAATTGAAAGTTCAAAATTGACTTCAAACATTACAAATCATTACTCAGAGTCCCTAGATGACGATAAGACAAAAGTTTTCACTTCTTCAATTTTTAACGTCTCTAGAAAACCGGTTTTTCGGAAGAAACTTTTTAGAACCCAATCTTGCTGAAAATTTTACCATAGATGCAGCTTGTGCCCTAGACACTATCCTGAACTTTTCAGATTTTTTTCTCATTTAATTAGCGAGATATTTGCTCGTTACTTTTTAACTAATTAATTAATTAATTAGTTTTAATTAATAACCATGTGAAAGACCAAACAGTTTCATATAAGCCTATGCCAAAAGAATTTATCCGGAAAATTCACTCTTATAGAGAATCAACGTCAAATGAAAAATGCAAATATCCTATTTCGCCTGATTTTGCCCATATGGCTTATATAAATCTAAAATATATAGTTTTTCTTCTGCTTTATTGATCGAAAAACTATGATTAATTTTTTCAAGTGTAAAAAAAATCTTTAACATTAAAAAAACTTTCTTTTCTTAATTATGCATAACAATCATATTACTTGCAAATATAACTCTAATATTGACATTTTGTAATGAAAAAATATGTTAGATTGATTGATGTTGAAAGATGTTTAATAAATAAAAATTATAAGTATAAAACATATCTATTTACAATTCTTATTATCAATATGTACTAAATTTATGTCGTGTATTTATATCATCAATAATTGTCTTCACATGATAATAACCAATGCTAATTTCCTAGGAAATTTACATGTTGTCATCACATTTCTTATCATTTTTTTAAGTGGACTTGTAATAACGCATTCTATTATCTTTTATTATTTTAAATGATACGAAAAATCAAAAAAAAAAAGAAATATTTGTATGAATATGATTGCATTCCATAAAAAACCAACAGCAGATGAAATACAAGGACAGCTGAAGTTTTCTATTCTCATATATTGAATTGTCAATCAATTTTTCTAAAATAGTTGACATTGCGTGGGTCGATGTATATTCATTTGTAATGTAATTTATCTGCTCATTTTTTTTTGTATTATTAATCGATTACTTTAGTTGCCTGAATACATATTCGATAAAAGACAAGTACATTTTCTTTGTTGTTTTTATTTTTTCTTTGAGATTACGGAAATTGAAGGATGGATGCTATTAGAAATCACTTATTTTTTTTTTGCTTTATTAAACGCATCTTATATGTCTTTTTTTTGCTTTTATAATAATTATTGGTTCATGTCTCAGGAGAAACATATTAATAATCTATCCTTGAAAATAGCTATACTCAACTATTTTCTTCTCCGTAGAGTTGGTTATCAATATTATCACTCACTTTTCTTTTTATTCTACAGTCTTTCGATTCTTTTATCTCCATATGCTACATACATGCCTATCACGCCTACTCAACAACTACCATCAGTCGTCGTTAGTGATTATAATATTTTTTTTTTCCTTGCTTTCCTCTATGAATTTCTTTTTTTCTTTCTTACCCTGTAAAAATGTCACTCAGTATTCTGTTTTTTTTTTCTGATTTTTTTCTCATTCTTCTGTGCGTTTAATAGAGTGACAGCAAATCTAGATACTGAGTAGCAGAAGGGTACAATTTTTTTTTTT